GCTTTGTGGGCTCTTGCCAGGCACCACTGAGCAAACGAATGCCGCTGGAGCTGATGCCTAAACGATCTCTGCTCGACAGAGTCGTCACAGTATTTCTCATTCTGAACTTTGCTACTCATTAGTCACCATTTCTGCACAGTTACCACCTGGAAGTTTTGAAATTTGAACCCAAAATGCTTTTTAGACTACAAATAAATGCAAGGATGAAACAATAGACATTTATCCCAAGTCCAGCATCACAGTAATGAACAACGCTGCACAAAATCCTAAGAAGTTCGGGGTTGTAAAGGTGAAGGCTAAAGCTGCTTACCATGCTTAGCTTCTTACAAGACATAGATTTTAAATCTGCTAACACTTCACACACAGCAGAGAATGTTTTTCTAATTGAACTTGTGTGGGATAAGCATTTTAATTAAATGATCATATGAACTGCTTCTTCAGCAGTGTTGGGAATTGTTTCTTTTAAAATGAACTTTTGTATTATGAGGTTAGAGCCCTTTACTAAGGTGCATTTGCAGGATCAAAAAGAAAGAAGCCCTTGGGATTCTTTGCGCCTGTTGGTTATGTTGTCCAGAGGCCGTTAGTCTGTACACAGTTTGCATTTTGCATTTGTTTGTTTTTTTGCCCTTTTTTTTTTTCCCTCCACAAATTCAAAGTGATGCAAATAATTCCACAATGTAAATAGTGTTCTTCCTCATTCACATATAAACTGCTGGCTTATAATGCAACTCAAGTGTTGCATTACAAGACACGTGTTGCCCCCAGCACTTTAACAAGTCTGCTTAACTCTGGAGGCAGGCGTTGCCGATTTGCAACAGTTAAAAACTAACAACCTGATTACCCCACATACATATTTTATGAGGGGTTTTTTTTTTTTACTCAGAAGTACCACTGCAGGACTTGGATGTGCATTAGCAACAGAAAGTTTAATTTGAGCCTGAGAGGGTTAAAACTGTGAACTGGTAGAATGAGCACTTTTATTTTGTAGTTTCATCCTTTCATTTTTGCTTGAAACCAGTCAGGAAGACGATGAGGACCTTCCCCCCGAGGTGAAGATGGAGCGCGAGAGGGAACGACGAGTGGCTAACAATGCCCGTGAGCGCCTTAGGGTACGGGACATCAACGAGGCATTTAAGGAGCTTGGGAGGATGTGCCAGCTGCACCTCAGCCACGACAAACCTCAGACCAAACTTCTCATCCTTCACCAAGCTGTTAATGTCATCCTCAATTTAGAACAACAAGTCAGAGGTCAGTTTGCATGTAGACTCTTATGGATGAAAATCCCAGCTTTGTGGACCTCTCTCGAGGACTAAGAAGGCTCATTTCTGTGTTCATCTTTCTCAGAGCGTAACCTAAACCCAAAGGCAGCGTGTTTAAAACGCCGCGAGGAAGAGAAGGTGTCTGGGGTGGTGGGTGAAGCACCCATGCAGCTCTCAGGAGGCCATCCTAGCATGGGTGGAGATGGCCACAATCCAGTTGGCCACATGTAACACCAGGTAGGCCCAAAAGACTCGTGTTAGAATTTAACCTACTTGCAAGTATACAATACCCGCAGTCATATTCTATCATTTGTGTGTTATGCAGGAATGTCGTTGCATTATGTCATTGTGCTCCTTCCTTTTTCCAGATCTGGTGGTGTTTTTCTGGCTGTCAGAGGATGTGGCCTTAACAGATTTCTTCCACCCGTTATTCTCAAGTGTGTGTGTGTGTGTGTGTGTGAGAACGTGTGTATGTGGACATGTCTGTGTATTGTCCGTTCAAATTTCAAGATGCACATTCACACTCGTACACACATGCATACTGCCAAAACTGACACAGCCTGTTTGTCGCACTCCCAACCATGACTACAAGCTCAAATGTGAAGAACTGCCTTTTTTTTTTCTTTTTTTCTTTTTTTTTAATTACATGTAAACTTTTTTCTTTTCTTTTTTTCCTGGTTTCCACATGATGATGATGATGGAACACAGGAGTACTTTTTTTAGTTTTATTTTTTTGTCCTGCCACACATTGGGGCTTCACACACTGCCGAGAGGTGCTCTGGTGGGAGTGGGGGGGTGGAGAAGAGCGAGAGAGAGAGACCTAAACAAATAATTTGAATCAAGGATTTGTGCCTAATTGTTACATGTTTTCTATTTGACATTTAAGCAAATTGCTTTACATGTGAGGAACATTTATTGTGAGGGATTGCTTATGTGTATGAGCAATTATTTTTAATGTATGTCATTCCCAGCGTGATGGTACAGTCTTACATATGTTATGTAACCAAGCCCATAGTTGAAGTTGAACTGTCAAAATTATTTTCTTCGTGTGTGCGTGTGTGTGTGTGTGTGTGTGTGTGTGTGCGTGTGTGTGTGGGGAGGTTGGGGAAAAGGTCACAAGGCAAAGGTCACAGTTTTGACAGTTGAAACGCAGCTTGAAGCATGAAAGATGGAACTCTGACTTAGAGACAGTCTCTGGCCGGAGCCCGGTCACATCACACGAGGCATCTGGAGACTTGGAATTGAAGACTTCTCCCTTGAAGACGATAATCTATCCAAGTGGGAGAATCTGTCAACAAAACAAAACTGTTCTTCCTGTTTGTTGACCACAAATTCAAGTGTTACTCCAGTAGTTGCTTGTTATCGATCCAGGTTTTTGTACCGCTTTATGTACTAAAGCATCCACAGACGAAAGCACAGTCATGTAGTTTTAGGCTGGACTTTGAGTGTTGACCTGTTTCACGTTTCAGTCCCTGTGAAAGTCTGTATGAAAGCCATTTGAATTACTCGCTGAGTGAACAGCGCCCTTTAGTGCTGTATCTTTGAAGTGGTTTTGATGGTGCCAACAGACTTAACGGCTCGAATATTTCCCCTTAATTGAAGTTCAGCAAAAGGAGAAAAACAAAAATTACAAAAAAAAAAAAAGATTTAAAAAGAAAATCTGGGTTTCTACAAAGGAGGGATCTCATCAGTCCACGGGCGTTAAAGCAGACGAGCTTCTGTGTAACCGAAGCTTTGTTTCCTAAATGAGCATTCCCACTGAACTGCAGCCCTTCACCTTTCTCCTGAGTAAGTGTGTTTTCACGTTTCTTACCGAGAGAAGTGTGATGTGTAAATTCACTTCATACATTATTCTGTTTCATTTTTCAAAATTAAATATATATAAAAATATATATTTTTTGTTAGTCTATACATTGTAGATTTTTTACATAAATGGCAATATTAGTTTGAAGTTTAGAGTGTATTGTAGATGAGCTGTATAAGGGGATATTTGACATTTAATTCAAAATTGAACTGGGATGGCGGTGGAAAAGGGTTGATGGGATGACAAATGGAAAATGTTAAAAGCGTTTGGTGTGTCCTTTTATTCCAGTTTTAGTTGTGAAGCGTCTCATCAGCTACCCAAGAGAATTCTTTCTGTCCATTTGGGAGCGCGTGGGCAGAATCGGTGCCACGGACCTGCTGAGGCATTCTGACCCCAGCAGGGGGCGCTGGAGAAAAATGGGGGAGGGGATTTTTGTCTCTAACAGTAATTATGCAACTGGTTTTTGAATGTAGCTACCATACAAATGTGGATCGCCTTCATTTTCAAAGTTGTGTTCCTGGGTTTTGTCAGTACCGTGTAATAGTTTTCACTTCACTCTTCTTTGTTTCTGATGTCTGTCCTCAATCGAGCGGCGCTTGGCGTGCAGCTCGCTGTTCAACTTCCTGCTCGTTTATTTTGGAGGCAGATGCCCGTGTTTGGGTGTAAGGTTAAGGGCAATATGGAGAACAAAAACAGTGTTATTGTGATGTTATTCCCATGTCATGTCATGTTGTGAATGGCTTCTTTTTACCAACATGTAATCACAAATGGGAGGTGGAGCATTTTGTGTGTTTAATTTCTACAAAAAGAGATGAAGAAAAAGACCTATACAAATCAATAGTGTGGCCTTTTCATTCTCAAGACTTAAGATGTCATGATGGGAGAGTGATGCCTTATCAGTGCCTGAACTTGTATTTTATTTTATTTTTTTCATTTAAGACAGTTTTTATTTTGTGAACCATATCATTTCATTTATCATGGAGATTAAAGAGGTACTTGTTCATTCCCCCACCCTCCCTTCTCCTAATGCTTTTTTCAGTTTTCAGGAAGAAGTTTAAATGGTATAAAGAGATTTTTCTTTCAGTGTATCTAGTTAAAATAAATAAATGTTACATAGATCTTGTTTAGTTTTATTCCTCTTTTTTTTCCCCCTGAAATATTCAACTGGATTGTCCAATCTGCTGTGTTAGTGAAGGTCACGGGTCCAGGTCCTGAGTTTTCTGTCTGTCCTGTATTGCTAAAGCGTGGCAGGGTTCAAGAGGTGCTGCTTCTGACTCTGCTTGTCTGCCTTTGATGCACAGAAACCTGTTTCGGTATGTGCTGCATGGTGTCGGCGTGGACAGTTTATTTTCAGGTGTAAAGACTTTCTGCATTGTGGTGTCCAAGCCCTTCGCTGCAGTGACTTTAAGTATGTGTCGTCACTAGTGACAATTTTAAACCCCAACCTTTCACTCTTCCAGCTCTTTGATGGTGTTGATGGAAACTCTTGGGACATCCTTGATCACTTAAGTCAAAAAGTTGTGTTTTGAAGTTTTGTCTATTGTCACATGATCAATCTGTGTACTGGATACTGCGATGGCAATTCCAAGAAAAGAATCGGATTAGATGTAAATTAGTATTCCCTGGACTGGACTTCTGTGGCGGGGGGAGCTTTTTCTTTCTTGTTTGAAGTCTTGATATAGACACAGTTTGAAATCTGACAAACAAACAGCCACCCCAGTCACTGCAGGAGCTTGTAAATGTTTCAGCTGATGGGCTTGGACTTGTTTTGTTCACACGAGAGCATAATTAAAAACTTTCTTTCGACAGTTTTGTCACATCTTTGTTGAAATAAAAGGGGGTTGGACCATTGAGTGTTAACGACATTCACAGGCACAGAGCTTGACATCTTGGAGCGAGGACACTGTTGACTGCTGGTCCTCAGAGCGCCTGACTCAGCCTGTCTCTCTCTTACATATATATATATATTTACATATTTAAATATATATAGTTGAGAACTGTCCTGTAAATAACAGTAATGTAGCAATAAATGTGCCATTTTAATAACAGATTATACCTTTTCCAATGTCTGGCTTTTGAATATTGTATACATTTAAAAAAAAAAAAAAGAAAAATAAAATAAAGGAAACCATTGTAATAAAGGGTTAAATTAATTTGTCCATATTTTCTATTGCCAATATTCGGACAGGGTAAAAACTCACTCGAGCGCCATCAGAATGCAACAAAGGCGCCACGTTAAAGAGCAGATGTGAGCCGTTACTGGAGCTCTGAAGCCAACATGTTTAAACAGCCCTCTTTTGTAAACGCAGGTCTTTAAAATGGTGGCCTGAAACGACCCTGCACTGCTGCACGCAACCGCGGATGTGGTGGTTATTTTTAAACAGGCAGAAGAAGAGACAGCCCGGGGTCCTTCGCGACAAGAGCAACTACGAGAAGGTCACAATGGTTCAGAAAATATTAAATAAAATCATCGGAGCCAAGTACATAGGTATTGCGAGGACGTGGTAAGTTAAGAGGTGGAGCGGGTTTACGGGGGGTTGGTCCTGCTTTTTTCTTTTTTCTTTTTCCTTTGTGTGTCCTGCGTCACCCCTTTTAGCCTAGCTGGCTAGCTGTTTGTTACCATAGAGATGCTTTTTTTTTTTTTTTTTAAATGGCGAACTAAATGGCTGAGTGTTACAGCTGGGTTCGTTTACAGCTCAGTTAGTGATATGGGAGTCAAGGTTTATGTCTGTTATGCTATGATACATCCAGATCCTCCCAGTAAGAACAGAACCGCTCATACTGGCCTGATGGAAAATAGTGTACATGAGAATTATTATTATTATATTTTGTTATTTTTGCATCAGATGTAAGGATTTCCCAGTTTTTCATACTCTTAATTAAACCGGAATGTTTACAGTTACTGCTCGTTAACCATTTACAACATTAATATTATCCAGTTTGGATAACTAATAACAGGAAATCCTCACTCATTGTTTAGTAAAACTAGAGTCAAACTGATGTTTTTGTACCTGTATTAGAGGTAAAAGACTGATTATAGGCCATTAAGAGATTGTGTTTTCCAAAATATTGTTAGAAATGGTGTAACACAAGGTTTGGCCAGCAGGGCGGCGCCGCCTCCGTTGTTTCCAGCGTGCTTAGAGCTGCCTGCAGCACCTGCAGCAGAATGGCATTAGTAAGCTGCCTGCCCCCATCATTTTGCCTATTTGATATAATCTTAGTATATTGTATTTTTATTCATATATAAAACTTGGGAATGTTTTACTCCCTAACAAACTGTATCGCTCCAAATCATTAACACCTCTTTTTTTCTGCTAGTAAATCATTCCCTTTTATTCAGACAGGAGTTCCTCTTTCTTTGTCAGTGTGTGAGGTAGTCAGACTCGAACATCATGGAAGGTGGTAGAGAAGCAGACTCAGCAGACATTTCGAGTTTCCAGAGGTGAGCAATTTATTTATAGTGAACTCCATCCTACGTGAAACTTAACAAAACTTCCCCCCCCAAAGTAACCCAATTAACAAAACTCAAAAGTACATGGATTTCGTAACACAGCTCACCTCTCCTTCATCATCTGAGTCTGGCAGAGACTGACTATATATAGGGCCATCAATTTTCCTTCAATTAGTGATCTAAAACTCTACATAGTTGACTAAAAATGACAAAAAAAACTCCTCGCACTTCTAATTAGCACCTTTACACAACTAAACGGCTCTATTTACAGAAAAAAAGATTCAACAAATCCCTTCAGACCTTGAAACAAACAAAAGGAAGCATTTCTATGGTAAAAGAAACCCCTCCTTTTGGTTCAACCTGCTGATGTCATGAGTGGCATCATCAGCACTTTAAAATAAGGAAATGCTAGGTGGGCCTTTCCCCACACCTGACCTACATGAAGACTGAAAAGAAAGAACAAAGTAAGTATGAACAAATGACTTAACCTGTAACATAATAAAACATAAAGAAACATGTAACTGAGTATTTGCCTTAATTTGCAGAATGTGTGTTTTGCCAGCAACAGAATGCTTAACACAAACAAACCCGGGATAGTTAGTGCAGCAATGTTACTTTGACAAATAGCAAATAAATACAGAGACAGAATAATGTGCAAAAAAAGTCAGCACATCTGGGACAATTGCTCATCCACTTTGTCACACTGCATATCTTTTTGCAAGCAAATTTATTTGTATGGTCATCTAAATAAAAAATAAATAAATAATGATATATATATATAATAGTATCTATAAAAACGGCATCCAGTACAAAATAAATAACAGACTATTACTACCATGTCGTATGGTGACTGAGGGGTGTAATCTAAGCTGGCATTGAGGGTGTGGTTACATTTCTGTCTTATTCAGGAGTCCTGTTTTCTTCCTTCCAGGGTCCCAAACATGGTTGCCTGGGGAACAGTGGGCGGCGTGGCACTCATTCACTTCACAGATTGGCGATTAATCCTAGACTATGTGCCGTACGTTAGAGGGAAGTTCAAGACAGACGAGTAAACTCTTAACATGTGAGTGTGTTACAGGTGTATAAAGGCTGTGCAGATCATTCTGCTCTTCTTTTCCTGTTCACTGAAGTAATGTGCAAGAATAAAGGCTCCATGCTTCTGTATGATTAATGTTTGAAAATGATTTCGTTTTTCTTTTTTTATTATTATGAATAATGTGGCAATGTTTGGGTGTACTACAGATATTGTAGATAATATCTTTGATATCCATTCTGTCATTTTTGTACATGTGTTACTTGTTAAAACAGACCCTATTTAATAGTTGCAGCCCTTTGGAACCCTCGCCCTATCCCAACCTCTTTATCATGTCAGAAATCACTCACTTGTTGCATCAGGCAGAAGGTTTCCTAAGAGAGAAACAGGAGTTAGCCATTCAGCCTGACGTGTTCATGTACACTTTTCTAATAAACGGGCCGTGTGTCTGCCTGCAGGACCACAACGTTGGGATGGGCACTTTGGGTGGATTGCTTTCACACCTTGAGCTTTTGTGGGATGCCCTGTCTCAACAGTCAGTCACTGAGGGCTTGTTAGGAGTTTGGACTTCAAGATGCACTCTCTTTATAAACTGCTGTTTTTGATTCAGTGTTATTAAATGTGAATAAATGTAATTTACTCCCAGTATGTCTCCTTGTTCTCTAAATGTACAACTATTAAAATGCTTTGTTCAAACTTGTATGGTGAGAAATTTTCGTTTATTTACTTGCATTAAAATCAACTGGATGTTTTTATTTATTTATTTTATTTCATTTAGTAGCTGTCACAGCAAGCTTTTCTCGTGCTGTAAAAATAATTTAAAATTGCATATTAATTCGGCCTAACGAGCCCAGCAGCTCAACCAGAAGAGGCCAGTTTGAGCCAGACATTATGCTCTTTTTATCAGGCAGACTGCGAAATTTGCGTGGATAATGTCTTTCATTTCTAACATCGAAGGGGGAGGGGACTGAAAGAAGAGAGGGGAGAAGGGATTTAACATAGCGAGAGGGAGAAAACCAGATAGTGTCTTCAAGATGGATAAAAACGAGTAAGTACACGTAAAGGACAATAAAACCGCGAGCTGTGGGTGTAATTATGACTAGCGTTTGATGCGTTATTCGGAATATGTTCGGAAACTATGTTTGCCATCGATCAGGCAAATCCAACCGTCTAGTCTCCTCGCATTCTGCAAACATCCATGCACCGGCTTGAAGCCAGGCTGTCCGCGTCCCTGGAGCCTCGCAGCATGCTTTAATATCCCCGAGATTCACAGATAATACGGTTTAACCACGGAGGCAGGACTGCGTCGACACGGTGCTGTTTCGGCGCAGATTTTTAGCCGTGCAAAGTAGAAATAATGTTTCTTTTTCCTGCATTGTTCTTATAGAAACTAAGCGTGACGTGTAGTTGAAATGCTGTGCGGTACATCGGTGACATCTACTTTGTTCATTGATAAAAGCCGGCTCCGAGCCTGAATGACAACGGTCGGCATTGTCGTGGTGAAACGGCTCTCCACTTTCACGCAGTTCACACAGAAACCTGCGCATTTCGGTGAAGAAACCACAAATAAATGTGTTTATTTTGCGTATTTTGCTGGATTTAATTATTTAGCGCCGGTCGTGGTTGTTGTCAGCGCCGCTTCGTGCTTATTGTTTACGGTCTATTTGTAGCTGCAGCCTAATTTATGTTTCCCATAGATTAACGTTGCTCTGGTGTTATGACACTGACGTCAAGCTACGGGGACGTAGAACGCACAACTTCCTGTATGATCTGTCAAAATAAAAGCGTATACAGGGTCGCTTCAGTTCAAGAATTTGTAGGATTTAGCTGCATAACCCAAACTCTGGTATAACTAAGCACAGCAAGGGGGAGGCAGTCATACTATACTCAATCATAATATTATAATTATATATTTAATCGCATAACTGCATTCACATATTTGATAAAACATTGTTTTAATTCAACATGAACAATCACTCAAAAGCTGAAAAACGCTAAGTAGATCTCAATTTATTTATTTATTATTAAACCTTACATTTCAAAGTCAAGAATTTAACTACTCAAATGCATTCAAATAACTATTTTTCAGTATTAACTGTTTTTAATAGAATCAATAGAATATCTTTATTTGTCATTGTCTGGGTGTACGAGAATGTTTGGATCATCTCCCTGAGTAATGCATGCAATTAAGACACATCAATGTCTATAAAGTCTTGATTTATAAAACTAAGAAAAAATGAATGTGAATATTTAAATTAGAGGAAAAAGAACAAGAATAAATTAAAACACATGAACGTATCCGTTTTACGGTCTTTGGTGATATCATACACAAGCTTTGGGTTTAAACATGTGTAAGTTTGTTCTGTTTATATTCAAATATGAATTTGAAAATATTCATGTAATAAATAGTTTGAGAAGACTCATTACTCAACTGTTACTCAAATATTTAAGAAAATCTTTAAGATTAAGTGGTTTGTCACCCAAGTTTCAGATTTTAACATTACATACAAATTTGAGAGACAACCGAGTATAAAACATTAGGAAAATTAATGTGAATGTGAGAGCCCAAACTTAATACCAGTTCAGATAATTGAACTTCATATGTTCAGCTAAGAGATTACAGACAGGCAAAATACAACCTGAAGGGAACTCACTTTGCTATTTAAATGAAATCAATGGTGCCAGCTTTGTAGCCTGCACAACAAATCCAAGCATAAACAACTTATCTGAAACCATATCATGAACCATTATGAATAATAACCATAAACACACAGAACACTCATTTGTAAATAAGCCTGTGAGTTAAAGACAGCCTGGTGAGCTGATGATGACTTCCATTGAAACAGGTATGGTGGTAACCCAGTGTCCTCCTCAGTCATGCCACCACAGTTGATGCAGATGCTCTAAGTTACTATTGAACAAGTATTTAACACAGGCTGGTTGTTACTACAATAAATTGAAATTGTTTAATATTTTCATTAGCAAATCATAAGACTTAATTTACTTACAGTAGTAAAATTATTACCTTTTTGGATGGAAGGTTACTATAAGGTTATTATAGTTAATGAAATCTAACTAAAATAACAAAAAAAAAACCTCTGGCAGCTAACTTTACTAGAAATAAATGTGTAAAACTAAATACAAATAAAAAATGAGTATAATAACTCTTGCGTGTACTGCCATGTAACTATGTTACAATGCATGTTTTAACACTGACCTCTTCAGGGGTCAGTATAGAGCACGGTTACTTAACATTGTGGACCACATGGATCTCACTTTGATCTTAAGTGGGCCGGACCGGTGAAACTGCCCTTTTCGTCAGTGTAAATAAATGTAACTACTTATTGGAGAAATATGATAATGTAACAAAAAGAAACGTCTCAGTTTATCCACGTGTTACTTTGTTAAACGTGTTAATCATTTAGCGTGACTGTGTAAAATTAATGTGTAAAATTACAGGCAGCTCATTAGCCAGAATGTCCTGCAATAACAAAACAGAAAGTTACTATAATTCACAGAAAATGTCCTTTTTTGGACTGATTGTTAAAAAAAGGAAATTTTATGTTTTGAATTATTTATCTATCACTTAATTGCTTGTAGTATGTATGGCCTCAAGGAGTGCTTCATCAGCAAAAAAAAAAAAAAAATCTGCAAATCTTGCATAAAAAAACTTTCAAAAGTCCAAAGTCTTCCTGCACATTTTCCAAAGCCGTCAAGTGGGCCGGATTGGAGTCTTTGCTGGGCTGAATCTGGCCCCCGGGCCTTACATTTGACCCTCCAGGTTTAGGAGGATTATTTTCCCCTTTTTAAACATCAGTAATATCTTCCTTTCCCCCGGTCGCTTGCTCTACTTTACCCAAGAATCAGCTCACGCTTCGATAAGGACGTGCTTTTCTACCGAAATCCGAACGCACTAGCTTCCTGTTTGTGTCGCGACGCTTTGACGTATCTGTCCTGTTTTCCTTGCGGATGTAGCCCTCGTGCCCCGGAGAGACAGTCAGGTAGTGATGTGGCTGAGGTCCGCGGCGGAGCGATCTGCGCGACGACAAAGAGCCGAGATGTTCGCGCAGAGATCTACTCCAGAGGACGCGCGTAGTAACATGGTCGAAACAAAAGCGTGAGACGCCATAGGCCTGCCGTCCCAACAACATTATATACAAATATACATCGGCACATTTCCTAAAAGCCACTGTGGTCATCTGGAGTAAGTTTGAGTGGATTTAGAGATTACTCGCGTGGGAAATGGAGAAGAAAAGGTGGGATTGCACTGCTCTCCCCAAAGGCTGGAAAATGGAAGAAGTGACCAGAAAGTCCGGTTTGTCAGCTGGAAAGAGCGATGTCTATTATTTTAGGTACTGCACGAGCTAAGGGCTTGTAACAAAAACAAAACTTAGAAGTTGCACGAGACACCGAGTGTGCGGACGGAAGCGGGGCAGGAGTGTGTTCGGTGTCGATGTAAAGTTTGGGAATGGGAGGGAAGGAGGGGGGCTCTGTTTGCCGCACGACAACAACAAGGCCAGCCGGGCCAAGTCCTCAACAACTGTTGGGACTGCAAGGAGTGTGTGCAGGCTAGCAGCAGCTCCTCATACCTGCCAAGGTGTTGAGATAAATAAAGCTCCGTGTAATCTCCGCTAATGACCTTTTATTTCCCAGTGAAGTGAATCAACAAACCTCAGATTTGTTCTCGTTTAGCAGAGGAGAAGAGCAAGATGAGGAACAGAGGCAAGAGAGGGGGGAGGCGGGTCGGTTGTATAGTTTGTGGTAGGCTAAATGTACAATCCTACTGGTGTTCACTGTGGTGTGTGATGTTAGATGCATTTGCATGAGTTACTCTAGCACGTATCCACCCACAGTTGTTCCTTTGTTTGGTCATCTTTCAGGCTCAAGATGATGCTGCTGCTGCTCCCAGCAGCGGAGCTCTAATGTTTCCACCCTGAAACATTTGACTAGTTTTAGTTTTGCCATGTTCACATTGTGATCACTGATGGAGGAGGGTGGGGTGTAGTTACACATGTTCAGTATATATTTTCATATGTGCCCATTTTTCCTGAGACGTGTGCAGCTTGTTGGTAGGTGACAGAGCCAAGGTGGAGTCTGCATCCATTTCACAAAGTGCTCATCCGCTCATTTGGATGTCTCCTGCTTCTCTTTGTTGCTGTTGACTTGTTGCATGTTGTCGTCTGTGTGTTACACTTTTCTGTGTCGTCTCTGTGTGTTTTTTGTCTTTCGTGTTTTCAGTCTCGGTGTGACCTTTGTTTTTGCTGAGAGGCAGTGCTAACCTTTTTTTTTTTTTTTCTTCCCCCGCCTCATCTCTGCGTCTTCCTCGTTAGTCCATCTGGGAAGAAGTTTCGGAGCAAGCCTCAGCTGGCCCGTTACCTTGGTAACCAGATGGACCTCAGCTCTTTTGATTTCCGCACGGGGAAGATGCTGATGAGCAAGCTGAACAAGAATCGCCAGAGACTGCGATACGATAACAACAGCCAGAACAAGGTGACACAGTTGGCCTCGTGAAAATCAGCCGCTTGACCTCAGTGCTAAAGCGGGCTCCAGAATTGTGTTCTATTTACTGTCTGCCCTTTTATCTGCATGCCAGAATCCCGAGTGTGAAGTCTGTGATCTAAGTGGAGGAAGGACGCATGCAGCCACTGCTTTGTAAAGTTAATCTCTTTTGCGGATTATATGTTGCTCGTCTCGATAAAC